TAAAAAGTTTAATTGTGTCGTACCTTATAGTAAAGGAACTTTCTTCATTATAAACTTACTAAGGATTTAGCAAAAATTAGTGCCTATTTCGCTCCATAATTTTAACTAAGAAGGCAGTTTTCCTAACTAAAGCCTGTCTAACTATTAAATCCGCTCAGTTGATCAAAATAACCCGGCAAAAATTATGCTAAAATGCTAAGTTAAATTTTGTTATTAAAGTTTCTCGCAGCACTCGCAATACTTTAGACAGAGCGGCAACACCAACAATGTCAAAGGAGACTGGAATGGTCATTTCTGGCTTACTAGCAATCATCAGCCAGTCACACGCAGCCCTGAGCCGGAGTGCCATAGGGACCATATTTAGGAGGAGCCATTGTAACCCTACTCTCCGCCCTGGAGGTCAAAATTTGAGACAACTAAAACACTTTTCTACGAGGACTGTATAACTGGTTTGAATTCCTAAAGCTCGTGAATCAACGTCTATTTTAGAATGATACTATTTTCGGCTTTAGCGCCAATTTACGCCCCAGTATAACCTAGCCCTTTTACTCTTGTATTTACGGGGTGACTGCGCTCTGACAATACACTTTGAGGACACCGTTGGGTCCTAAAGCCTCATGAAGCATCGTCTTTTTAATCCAATAAGGATGTGAGGGGTGAGAGAGTAGAGGCGAGAGATGTTATCCCAAATGAGCCCTGCACCGGACGTGTTAGCCAATGAGTGCGGAGCTAGCCCACGAGCGCCTGCTTCATCGCGGGATGAGGCCAAAAAGCTCACGGTCCCAGTAAGCATGTCGGCGGTGGCGGTGGCGAGAAAGGTGTCAACCAATGAGAATGCGGCTGCCTGCTTCGGGCGGCATATCAGCAATCGGCCGACCGCATCCCCTTTCAATAAATTCTTCGGGACAGACGTGCAGGTTGCGAGGCCTCCCCTAACGCGTGCCGCTGAACTTCATACCTGCATCCACTTTTTCCTTCGAATAATGCACTTGACGGAATGCGAGGATTGTCATGTGTGCAAACAGTCGGTTCGCCAGTGGACCTCACACCTGGTCGCTCAACACACACTGCCCTCGGAATGGCCAAGCGAACGGGCCTCGCGACTCCCTGCTGACAGTGTACAGACCCCCTACACCTACGTTACCGAATCGAGAAAGAAGCGGAAACCGGGCACCATTCCGCGACCTCTGAATAGCTTTATGGTGAGTTCTGCCATAACCTCTTGAAAAGATTGTGTAAGGATAATTTAACAGGTTCCCCAAAAATCCAGGCAGGGGGGGGGACAGGTTTTCTGAACACGTACCAACCACCCCTGCACCAGCGCCTTGTATATAAATGCTTTACGCTGTTTCCTATTTTGAATTGCTTGTTTCCGTGAAGTTTACAACACTCAAGATGAATTAACACTGTCTATCACTGGTGAAGGCCTAGCTACTGATTGCGGCGTCAAATGAGTACATAAAACTCTAGGAATTTAGCTTGTGGACTGGTATTTTTCCAGTACATTTAGCTCCCCTTCTCTTCTTTGTCTATATAAGTGACTGAACACAGGATTTTGGCCGTTGCGCATAATGATTCTGGTGTACTGAAAGTCTGGACTGCAAACCGGTGTGCTAACAAGAAATAATAACCACAAGAAGATGTTGATAAGGTGATTCGCTAGCCTGACTTCGAGTACTTACTGTATCAAAAGATGATGACGACCTTGATGTGTTCCCTTGTTTTGCAACCATGAGGATGGTTCCCTCGGTCAAACATTAATCTTCATACCCAGACAATGGTCTTTATTGTCTATTCTATTCGACTCCCCCCATTAAAACTGCGAAGGTCAGATCAGTCACCGTACCTTGTAGTCATGTTTTATGCAGCCTTTTAACGTTCTGCCTTATCGTGGCGTATTTTGCTGTTTTTGCCACTTTGTCGGTGAACTCTGCAGTCCGCAAGGGCGTATCACGGTCGTGGCACGGACGCTTCGGTGATGATCTAGTGGCCTCTACTATCCCCTCTTCGGTTTGTCCCTAAGCATACTGATGCAGTCCGCCATGAGATCTCCTTGTCTCGCCAACTGATGATCGGTCCTGTAGCCAGCGAAATGGTTAAATGTTAGCTGGCAGTAGCCCTCGCTGTTGTATGATATACCCCACGACGGGAACCTTTCCGAACTCTCACACGTTGTCATCACCAGCACTGTATGGTATCAATCTATCCTTTTTCTGCGTATCCTTTCGCATAGTAATTATTTTCTCCTATATTTTTGGGAAAGTGGTGGCCCACTGAGCTCTGCTCCCAACTTCAGCGTTGGAATTTTTTTCCCTGCTTCTCTCTAAGCCCACGATATGTTCTAAAGATTGTTAACTATTGATTTGAAAAGAAGAAGCACCAGGTGATGTGACAAATTCTACCGACTATACTAATAATTTCAGCTGTTTATGTGGCTGCTCACGCACAGCATACAGTATATTCCCTATCTCATGAAACGTCACCCGGAATTCTGAAATGGGTTTTCGATTGGAACATATTAATTGTGTATGGTTGTAATAGAGACGATCATACAGCATAATCTCAACATATTTTGGACACTTCAGGATGCCGGCTTTTTAATGAACTTCTTTCTGACTGCCAAGAACAAAGTATGTACTATAAAAAGTAACTACTTAAGTAGTATGCATTTTGTCATTGATTTTCACTGCCTCTGTAAAT